ATGGCCCTGCGACTATGGAAGAATTCCAGGAATACGAAGATGCAGGCATTGTCAATCAGATGCTTGAAGAAATCTTCCGTGAAGGTGTAAAACATGGATTCCGTCCTCCGCCCCGTCATCAACCACAATCAGCTGGAGTCACCGCATACCAAGCCTCAAACTCTGGGTTAGCAGTGTATAACTATAAAATGTCGGGTCCGGTTTCCGCTTCTTCGCTATCTTCTCCTCCAAGTGGACGAAATACGCCAGACGCAGGGCCAGGAGGCGGCGCATTGGGCACAAACGGTGGTGCAGGCGATAATCCACCTACAACTCCACGTCAGATGTTCCGACGATCTACAGCATTGACTCCAACGAGCAGCAGCTATTCGGGAGCTGTTGCAAGGTATCCCATGTTTGGAGGGAGCCCCATGCGTTAACTGACCCTATCATCTCAAGTCTATACATCCACAAGAAGTGAATGACAACAATTGTCAGAAGCTGTTCAACCTTTGAAACGGCTTATATATATGACTATCGCCATCCATGGAGGTGGTAGATCCATATATTTGACAACTGTGATTTAAATATTCAATGTAGTGTTTGACCAAAAAATTTGAAACCGACATTTATCATCATCTTCCAGACTATCAGGTTTCTTAATCGTATTTTGGTGCGTATTTTTTATCTCGTTTAGCAGAAAATGGTAACTGGCAGCGCCTTCCAGACTACAGGCCATGGGTCCCCCTTTCCTTGTTACCAACCATTAACTGGCGGTTATTTATATGCCCCATAGCTTGTTCAGCTACGCACCAGGACTGATCGACGGCCACATTATACCAATCTTATTATCAGCCGTTATATTCTATTTGTATATATATTACGCAGCATGGAACACACGGAGTGCCATAATGGCGGCCACGAGTGCGTTCCTGCCTACCTCCGAGCATCCCGACCCCTAAGAATCTTCACAGAACTGTACGTCGGGATTGAGAGGAACAAGATCCGAGATATTGAGCGCACCATTGAACTTATCACTGCTAAGCACTCATTGACCAGTCCTCCAGGAGACATCACTCTGGAAGAAGAAATACGAGACGTGTGGGCCATGTTATTCGACTTCGTTATACACACCAAGTTCAACAATCCGATGTTAGATTCAGCTGTGCTTCTACTCATCAACCTAACGCATAGTGTCCCCATAACTCAAGAAGTCCATGATCCAAACTCGAAAATTCCGCAAATTATCAGAAACCTGAACAAGGTATGGAAGGACGCGACAGGTAAAGATATGAAGATTTTTGTCAAGAAAAGGAAACCCACACCGAAAACAAGAGAATCTAGTGATGGGGGAGACCCTCCAAGCGATACCAGTGAAGGTGGAATTCTATTACCAACCACAGAAGAAGATTCGGATAAGCCAGACGATACAAATAAGGAGAATGGAAAGGCGGGAAAGCAGGATGAGAATGAGAATTGTACCAGTACCGGAGCTACACTGCCTGATTCCGACAAAAATGGAGTGAGCGGAACTGAGGTTCCCATAGTGCGTGAAATCATCCGAGTCGACGGCCACGCCCTGTGGACTGAGTTGCCACTTCTACATACATATTTGGACGCTCAGTTTCTTAAAATAGGCCGGTTAGAGCGAAAACAAAGGTGCAGCTTGACCAGTTTCCTTGGTCGGATAATTGCTGGGGGTCTAGGCTATCAATATTTTAGCTGTATGGCCCTCTGGTTTATCCGGGAGACACTGGAGACGCCTCGCGCCATTATTGAAGAGGAGGTAGGCTCGGATGAAGACGAATACGGGTCATATAGCCAGGAAGATGAAGCCAAAAACAAGAAACGCCAAGCCAAAGAGAAGAGAAAGCGCGAGCAAGACAAATATGATACCATGGACAAGGTCGAAAAGGAGTTTGCGAATCTGACACTCAACGACCTTCTATTTCCATGTATCACATTGTTTGCTACCTGCAGCAAAACACTTGCGGCTTTGAGTGTAAGTAGTCCCACTATTAACGGGCCCGGTAAGAACAGATTGACCAATATTGGAGAACTTGCTACAAATTTCGTCAAGGAAAAGGAAGAAGGGTTCAGTATCCAAAGATGGATGTTCTGGAAATCACGATTGAAGAAAATTGCTAGCCTTGGAGTACAACCGTTGTCAAGAAGTGCACGATTGGCATTTAATCTTTTATGCAACTCAGGCCGATTTTCCGGAATCGAGCTCCCGGGTGACAGGGAGTTTATGAAACGCTCACTCGAGTACTTGCCCGAACAGAGCAGCCTGGTGGATTTGTTTAATTCAGATCTAAATTGGATTGACGAGGAAATTTGCCCTTGAACAGTGGTGAACAAAGCCTGGTGTTTCGTCCATCTATTTCCTGCAACCCTGTGCCGTCAAGATATCATATTTTTACTCTGTTTTATAGTTAGCCCGTTATTATTAGCTCGCCATGATTTGGATAGACACGTTTAATGAATTCCGTCTACGTCAGTCAAGCTAAATATACTGGATACACTGCATAGTAAGAGATGCCTGGAGAAAGCCCTTAAACTCCAGTACCCCGGGCGGGAGGTGGCTAAGCCCAGGGAGTAGATATGTTGGTGGTACTGTATAAACCGTCATCTGCTCCTCTATGTACGAAAGTATCCATCGGCGGCTGATGCCAAGCATTGAAGGCCCAAACCTTAAAGGCAATAAGCTTGTTCTCCCGCTAAGCTTAAAGCATGAAGGTGTTGGCATATTCAATCTCCGCGATCTGTGTCATTACTTCATATTCAGAAAGGTAGTTTTATCAACCTGAGCAAAAGATACCGGAGAGAGCTATACTTTAGTCAATATTTTCTCCCATCAGCCAAATGTTCTATCGGTAAGAGCCCGATGAAGCTACTCTAGATACAAGTGCAGCCTCGATAATTATTCGTACAACGACCATTTATCCCATTACACCCATTCTTATTACACTGTTGGAAGAAATTCCGGCTGCAGCCATATCCACATTGACATCCGACATATTTGCCCTTATCATCTGTTAGATTTACGAACTGCACTCCATGGGTGGATTGGAAGCTTACAGAATGGCAGATTAGTGATTTTTCGTCCCCATTACAGTTACTGTCCCAGCAGTTTCCGACGGGATATTTGCACTCGTTGGGGTGGGAGGCGGAGCTGCGCTTAGGATAGGCTGATGTGGCATTCAGAAATGCAAGACCAGCAATCAAAAATGTCGAGATATGCATTTCTGAGGAGGAAATGTGTGATCGTTATCGCTGTACGAGGATAGATCGCTGCTGGAAGATGAATGAAGACTTGGAGCTGGCGACTTCGAAACAAGAGCGAAGGTGTTATTTATAACCGGAAAAGAGGCTTGAGGTAAGTAGAACTTTGACATAACCCGGGCGCGTGCACAGAGAAAATAGGAAGCCGTGCATCGTTTACTCTAAAAGGAGCCTTGCAGTGGCAGGTGATACATCTTTGACACCCGCCGGAAACATACAGATATCTGTTGGGTAAAAGAATTGCCATACTTGCAATGAGCTATTCAGGAAAAGATAACCTTGTTGAATATGTACGGGACAAAAAGGGCATTTTAATACAGTCTCGGCCAAAGATAAGAATTCCCTCCAAAAAAGAAATGGTATATAGGTATAATACAAAAAGTAAGAGAAAAGAGAGTGAAAGGGACAGAGAAAGGGTCTAGGCAGGAAAAGCAGTATATAAAAGGAACGTTAATATATTGCCCTTCCCTCATCCCATTTCTTGCTTTCTCTCCTAAGTCCTGGGTCAGGAGGTGGTACGACGTTTTCGGAGGAAGGTGAAAGTGAGAATTTGACCTTTGAGCTCTCTCGACGAACGGCAGAGTCTCGCTCATTCGCAACACCGCTTACACCACCAATCCATTCCCATACTCTGGAGACGTCTCCACCGCGGCCTTCACGGACAGAGGCTCTAACATTGGCATTGCCCTCAACGATTGCTCGAACATGCTTCCACAACTTCTCACGGCGACTGCCTCGCAACTCGTCACGCAATACGTCATCACGTAGCTGTCCAACCGATATCCAGGGCTCTAATGCCTCACCGCGTGCATGTAAAGCAGCCTGTGTAGCAAGCCTGTCAAGTGTCATACCAACTAAAGATGGAACGCGAGCAGCATCACTTCGTCCGGCTAGGATACGTGATCGGATATAAGCAGCCAGTAAGCAACACAAAATTATAAGGAAAATAGGGAGTCGATACGCGAGGAGAGAGAGTCTGAGGTGTCTTCGGATGGAACAGGTGAAGGAGAGCTTTGCGAGGGATGTGGATGCGAATCTGACATCTGCACTTGACGATGGACTGTGGGTTCGTACGCGGTTCTGTTAGTGTTGAAACATAGCACGTCAATAGCTGGACATTATAATTGAGAGCAGGAGAAAACACCTGAATGCTACACTGGATGGGCGACATGCTGAGGTTGTGGTATGGAAAGAAGTATGAAAAAAAAAAAAAAAAAAAAAAAAAAAATCATTACTCACCCTGTACTGACAACAACTTCCTCACGCCCAGTTATCTCGCCGATTGAGGCATCCCACAGACTGTCAAATTCTTCTTCACTCAATTTTCCCTTCCTCCTCAAACTCCCTACTCTATCTCGAAGCTCAGAAGCAGTTATCTCTGGTGTTGCCACCACCTCGTCGGTCTCCTTGTCGGATTCACCGCACTCAAACTTCGCTCGCTGGGTTCTTAGCTCGTCAATAGCTTTATCCGCAACCACCTTGACACGTCTGGCCTTCTCACCATCGGCCTCGCAGGTGGGAGGTAAAGGTATGAGGCCTCCTAACGATAGCGGATGAGCCTTAAGAACAAAACCTTGTTCACATCCAGCCTCAAAATTAGGATAACAGAAAGCATGTTGAGGACATGTTTCACACTGTGGTTCAATGATATTCGCCCAAGTTGGCACATTTGTGTCTTCTAAGGACCAATGTGTCTTTCCAACGCCGCAGTATCCTATTTCGATCTTTTCTTTCCGCCACCAAAGCCCGAAACCACTTAGCAGCGTTAAAATCACAAACCAAGATGCGAAGACTCCGCTGCTACTCTGTCCATTTCGAGATCGGTCCCTCAGTACAGACCTTCGTCTCCCGTTGTAGGCCTGTTCCTGGTCCAATGCTAGTTGTTCATCAGGTGTGAACTCTTCTCCAGGTTCGATGTCAGACGACTCCTCAAATCGCGGCAACCCCTCAATATGAGAGATCGGTGACGTGAATGTAGATCGTGTGGGGACTTGTATATCCTCTTCTTGTTTCATTCTAGCGGGTGTCCGAACTTCGGATCTGCGTTTTCTCCTCTCTTCAACTTCTGACAATCGACTTATACCGCTTTGCCGCCGGTATTCTGAGTTCGGAGACCTGAACTTGGGGCTATTCGATGGAGAGCTGCCGCCTTGGAAAGGGTTGTCGTCGGTGAATGGAGTATCCGCAGTATACTCACTCTTGACACCTGTTGGGGTTTCGAAATTGTCGTAGTGAGATGCGTGGGGTGTTAGATAAGCCTCGCTCTTTCTGGACTTCTTTCCACTTGGCCGTACTGGAGTAGCCAGAGGTGTATCGTCGTAGTTCTCCGGCATGTCAGTATCCGACGACCGCGGATGTTTGCTTGAGCCTCTCGTTGTTCTTTTCGCTGCAGAGAGAGGAGAAGTGGCCCGGTACTCTGATTCAGCAGTCGACGCCCTAGTACTCGATCTTGTTGCTCTTGATCTGCTCCTCTGGCGCCTTTCAACCGTCTCAACCTCCTCCTCTGGCTCACCGCTAGGCTCCCCGTTGTATGGCATATTTGTTATTCCCCTGCTTGTCCTTCGAACGCGATCCCGCTCACGTAACAATTTCTTAGCCTGCGGGATAACTTCATTTTCCAGAATAGCAACTAGCTGAGATTTCTTTGCAGATGCCGGATATGAGATATCATGGTTCACGAGAATAGACCGAAGTCGCGGCACTGTCAGCGTATTCAAATCGAAACCCGGTTGAAGATAGTAGAGCTCATCGTTTGTATCCGAGTTCGACGCCATAACGAAGGTAGGAAATCCGTAAAGACACGGTATATAGTAAAAACCAGCGAATTCGTAGCACCCTCGCTGTGTCTGGAGCCTCTATCGAACTGATCAGAAGTCGCAGCGTTTTTTCTTCTGAAGTTGTGTAATTTTTGTCAACTTCTACGGTCTCCTAGGCAACCACTAAACGTGTTAAGAGGGGCATCTGCGGCCTGGCATAAGGAGCTTCTCACACAGCAGAGACAAAGACAGCCATGTAATAAGTGTCTCCCCTTTCAAATCTCTTTCTTTCCATTCCGATATTTCAAAGGCTCCATATCAGCTTTTGAACGATGTCGTTCGGAATTTCCTGCGGCGCAACGAAAAACAGGAAAACAAACGCGATCACGTGATGAATCGCCACTTTCGCTTCCAAGCGAAAGTGGAATATTTCGGCTTATCTAAGCATTTCTCCTATCAAGAACGAAAAAGGCGAAGACGAGATGAGACGAATAAGACAATGAAGAAGGTTGACTATAGACAGATGAGCATGATAATTATTTGCCTCTTGTTGTATTAAACAATGCCTTGCCCGTTAAACCACTGTATACAATTCGCAGCCGGGAAAGAAGTAGGAAACTGAATAAAGTACTGGCAAAAAGCGAAAAAAGAAAGGCGTAGCTCTCAGGGGGGAAAGGCTGTGCAAGTATGATAAACCATGATTCATCCCCTCTTTCGTTGATTTCCGTAAACTCCAAGCGTGTAAAAAAGTCCACTGTCCCCTTAACCGCAGTCTCTGAGTATACATGAAACAAGCATGAAGGAAATCGAGAAATGATAATAACAATACACAAGATATTTTTTGGCGGAAATGAACAAATATGCAGGTCATAGACGAGGAAATAGATATGCCACGCGAGGGGTATCGTGGGAAAATTGAAATAAATATTCCAAAAATCATTTTGGGGCTAGATGTGGAGGAGCAGCAAGGTTGATGGCGGATGATTGAGCGGATGAAATCGTTGATTCAGGCACTTCAACAGAGTAGCCACTCGGTGGAGGTGTTGTGGGAGCACCAGTGAGATTCATCTGGGTCTTAAGTGCTTTGAACTCCGCGAGTTGGGATTGAAGTTGTTGTAGGATGTCAGACATGGGAACGGCATGGTCAAGAAGGGTATCGTTCGGTTTGAAAGGCTGCATCATAGTTCTGATCGTGAGAGTGTTGGTGCAGGTCTGGAGGATAAGGGTTAGTCATAAGTCCGTGTAACGTACATGCTAGACATCTCACCTCTATGCGTGCTACTTGATGTTCAAGTAGTTTCATAACAGCAGCATCATCAATCTCATCACCTCGGGCCTTGATTGCATTGATGATTTGTAAATCAGGTTCAAGTAGCATGCTGCCACCGGGGTTCTCAAGGGTACTACAAAACGCCTCCAAGCGTAGAGCTATCCTGAGGAGTTGCCAGAACATATCTGCATCGATATTCAAAGTAGAGTTTTTGCCTAGAGTTCCTGGGGAAGATGCTTCGCCGGATGTCACCATGTCCGGTTGGACAGATAGTCGCCCAGACAGGGCATGTGGGTATAGCAGGTATACAGACTCTGGGTTCTCAAGGCCTTTTAATTTACGCTCGCCAAGATCTTTAACTTCAAAACCTTGTGTGCTCAACTGGTAAAGTTCGCGGCGGGTAGCTTGACCTAAAGCCTCGTCTCCAAATATATCCTCTGACGAATCTGAGTTGGTGCGCTCGTAATCTGCAAAGGCTTCTAGGGTCCTCTCCATCTCAGTAACGAAGTCGGCTGAAACAAAGATCTGTCCACCATCAGCAACTGCCGAGATTCGAGAAGCACGATTAACCATTGGACCGAAATAGTCCATTCTCCCGGTAACTGGGTCCTTTTCACAAAGTGGTCGGCCCCAGTGCATACCCATTCTGACAGACAATCCCCTGTAAATAAGATTGCCATCATCATCATACGTCTCACGGCAAGAAGGCGTCTGGAGGACTTCTGTCGGCCAAGGGGCTTCTAGAAGTTGCATCTGGCAAGTGAAACACCATAGTAATGCTGCAGTCGCGGTTGAGAATGATACCATAAACGCATCTCCCTCTGTTTTGACTTCAAACCCTCCAATGAGTCGCAATTGCCGCCGGAACAACTCATTGTGTATTTGAATGGCAGATCTCATGGCAAGGGGATATGTCTCCCAAAGGGAAGTGGACTGCTTGATATCAGTGAAGACTATAGCAAGTTCACCCGTAGGAGCCTCCACATGGCCCAATCTTGCCAGGGTAGAATCACTAGGGATATCACGGGCTCTCTTTGCGCGCTTGGTGAGAGGGAACATATGTTCGTCATTAAGCGGCGAGGGTCTTGATAAGCTGGTGCTTCTAAATTTGCTGCGTTCTCGTCTTTTGAGATCATTGACACCAGCGATCATCACCATAAGCTTGCTTGTTGCACCATAAGAGATCGCTAAGTCGCGGATCTTTTGTGAGGCAATCATCAAATCAGTCCGTTCGGATCTCGCTACATCAACAACCACATTCGGCGTCACATAGTCCCACAACTGCCCGGATGCAAGAATAATCATCTCGTCCTGAGACGTGAGTGTGACTTTCACAGTGCTAGGAGCTGCGATAACAGCAGGCACCAGGTGGAAGTGTCCAAATGCTCGCGAAACCGATAGCTGGTCGTTTAGTTTTCCATTGCGAGAAACATAGCCGCCGGCTTCTCTGATTCGTTCTCTCTCGGAAGCTTCTGCAGGATCATGATTTTTCGTGAGATACTTGAATTGTCCATTACCTTGGACTAACAGGGCTTGGGCATCGCCAACGTTGGCAACAAAAAGCTCCATGTTCTGCAAGTACAGGACAGTGGCAGTACCACCTGAAAAAGCATCCTCACGGTTAAGCAGCTTAGCGGCAGTAGGGTTGCGATCCCAGTGGCGCGACTCTTTATCGTCCACAGGTTTGTAAGCAGCGGTAGCCATATCCTTATTGAGAGCCAAAAATGTTCTCCGTAAGGCATCCTCTGGTGTTTCTCCATTTTGCTTGCGAAGCTTCCCTAGTTCCTCCATAAAGGTAGCTGTGAAGTTTTCATGCAGGAACTTTGCAATCTTTGAACCCCCACCCATTGACGGCTGGCCATCAAACAAACCAATAATTGTTTCCATGTCACTACCCCTGAAACGTGGGACTACCATATCGATCATGGATAGGTGCTCATTCTTGCCAAGACTATCAGCAAGGCCATATGCAATGCATCCAGACAAAGAGGAGGAAGTTCGCACACGTCTGTCCTCGGTTTCTTCAGGAATAGTTGGTATAGTGATAGTAACGTCCATCAGGCCGAGAACACGTATGTAACTTAAAGAGCTGAAATCTGTCAAATCTGTCGATGGGGTTCCGTCAGTACTTGGCGTATAGGCACTAGAAGGGTTGATTCCAAATCGTTTATTTCCAGAGAAGTTAAGGTATCTCAAATTATGATTCCAGTTCCAGTTCCAATCATACGGCCAGTTGGAGATGTTATACTTGAGCGAGTTGCTTCCAACGTCCAGCACAGCAAGTTTGTTTATTTTGCAGAGTTCCGCGGGAAGGACTTGGAATTTATTGCCGTTGAGATGGAGGACCTTTAGATGGCTTGACTCTTCCAAGTCGTCGGAAGGAAGAGAACTCAACTCGTTTCCGGACAGGTAAAGTTCAGAGAGGTACTGCAAGCGCCGAATAAACCCCGGAGGCAAGTCAGTTAAACCATTGTAGGATAGATTCAGCACTCTCAGCTCTGTGAGTAGCGCGATTTGATGGAAGATGTCATCTTCAAGCCGATTATCAGCTAGGTAAAGCTGTCTGAGCGAGTTGGCAAAGGTACTAGCTATCCGTTGCGAAAACGTGGAATCCTTCCTTGACTCAGCAGTGATACGAGAAGCATTTGACGATTTCCTTCCACCGGGCGAACTCATCGATGGTATTGAACCTTTTCTAGTTGAGTCTGGAGGTGTGCCAACCTGTAAACGACCGGTAGAAGCATGGCTTGGTCGTCGGAAATCATATTCTTCACTCCTTCCGCCAACATCATCATAGCTATCAGCGCGTAGCAACGGGGTGCCCATTGGAGTTAAATTATTAGTCGCTTCGGACGGTGGGAGAGGTGGGGAGGAAGCTGGCTTTGGGAAAATTTCCAGGACATTGGATGAGACGTTTAGGCTCTCCAATTTGAGACAGTACCAGATCTCAGCTGGAAGCCTGTTGAGATTGCATTCTCGCAGATTTAGGCTCTTGAGCTCAGTCAGACAGCCTATTGATGCGGGTAGAATAGAAAGAGGGTTCTTTGCCAGGTTAAGGTGCTCTAATTTCTTTAGAGAACCTATATTAGGTGAAAGGGTCACGAAGTGGTTTGTATTTAGAATAAGTTTTGTTAGGTTAGGGACGTTGGCGAATAGAGAGTCCCTGAATTCGACCAGCTTAGCCGACGCTATATTTAGAGAATGCAATGTGGGTAATGGTGATGTGATGTCGAATTCGGTGACAGGACAGTGGTCCAGTACTAGGGTCCTTAGCCTAGGGAAGGACCCGGAGAAAGCAGAGACAGCGTTATGGCCAACGAGTAGTGTTTCCAGCCTGGGGAGAGAGGCCATGTTATCGATTGAGGTGATGTTGTTAAACCGTGCATCAACCTCCTTGAGCTTGGTCAAGCCCTTGAATGTTTCAACTAACGGTCCGCTCAGGCTGTTATTTGTAACCCAGAGTCTTTCCAAGGAAGTAAATTGGCCAATGGTGGGCAAATCCTCGATCTGGTTAAAACTAATGTCCAAGTCAACCAAGCTGGTAAGATTCCCCAAAAAGTCAGGGAGAGCACGGAAGTTATTGGAAGAAAGATTCAGACTGCGCAATGACGGGAAGTCCCAGAAGTTGGCAGGTAAGCTCGAGAGCTTATTATTCGCCATCTTCAAGCTGACCAGGCCTTTCAACTTGTGTAGATTAGCGTGTTCAAGCTTTTCTAGTCGGTTGTTGGATATGTCGAGGTACGTCAGG